ACATCCACTTTTGTTAAAGTGCCTCCATCATGACCTGCCACACTTCAGCTATTTTATTTGCAGATTCCTTCTGCAGGCAATACCAGCAGCTAACCTGCTGAGCCAGTGGGTTTGTAGAGTATCTAACTATCTATATAGGCTAAAAATATCACTGCCTTTCCTATGTGATATGAATAATCTAATCAAAGGGAAGACAAGCAATCTACTTTGTATTACTGGAATTTCACATCAATACAATTACAGAATAATTCTGCAAATATTGTTTCTGCATTCATTAGAAACCATGTATTTCACTTGGTATTGTAAAAATGTCTAAATAAGCTTCCTTAGCTATACAACTTACCTGAACTCCTGAACTATTTCTTTTTGTTTGGTTGTTTTTGGTTTGGGTTGGGTTGGGTTGGGTTTTGGTTTTGGTTTTTGTTTTTTTTTTTCAGTGTTTTACCACTATTCTAGTCAGTACCACTAAAATATATGGGCTCAAATCCTAGATGTCACTCACAGTTAAACTTGATAATGCCAGGACAGAAGAAATATAAGTGCAGCAATAATGTGTTTCAGTGCTGCCAGCTGCAAAGTATTTCTAGTCCTCCTTGTAATTCTGATATATCTTAGATTTTGGAAATACTCAACAAAACAACATTTAATAGTAGAAGTCTTTCTGCAGAAATTTTTATTTTATTTGCATTACGTGTGGTAATAGTGCCACCATGTGGCAATTTGGAACAATTACACATCTTAGGTACTGGAATTTAAAATACTAAAAATTGAGGTTAGAAAGCTGAGTTCTGACCAAAGATTGTGTGGTAAAACAGAAATAAGAAAAACTATAAAATCATATAAAAAAATTCTGTAGAAGAATCTATCGGCTCTATGAATTTCTAGAAATACGTTGGCTATCTCCTTCACCTCTAATTTTAGGGATACTCTTGCATTTACTCCCTCCTTTGATCTACAAAAAGACATAATTTTATGCAAACCTGGATTTTGACAATTTCTGACACTTCCATGAATTCCTCTGATTCCTACTGAATAAGAAAAACTGTTCTCAAGAATGGTCATTCTTCAACTAACCATGCCATAAAATCCCTGTATTCAGTTAGGGTTTCTTTCCCCACATTAGTCTCTTAGAAAGGTGTTCCACAACTTTATTCCTCTGATATTTAGGAACCTTCCCCTTGCCAGACAGTATTTATACAGAGCCTGTGGGCACACATATTTTTCATTGCCCACCCTGCACTTTAGCATAACACTTAATGATTTATAGAGAGTTATGCTCAGCCCTTTCAGCCCTCATTTTGGAAAGTCAAGCAAATCATCACCACTAGTCTGCTCTCTAGTAACCTAGACACTGTAAGAGATGGTCCTTGTCCTTGAAGATATCCACTGTTTATCAGGTAATATACACTTGCAAAATTCAGCATAATATGGACAGGTTTACCTCTGTGTTTATTCAGAAAGTCTATGACAAATGATCTTCTCTCTCATTAGGAACAAGAACTTGTTTATAATATTATTTTCATTTATTAATATTATGGAGCAGATGAAATGCTGTGTTGGGAGGGAAGATTTTGTTGACATTGAATTAAACAGATAAATTGGTGATTAGATATAAATTAGCATCTTTTACATTTTGGTTTTGCTCTGCTGTGTGCTGCTGTGTTTCTTTAATCAGTAACTTCTATATCTGTGATTCACTTGGCCTTTCCCAGCAGTCAGTAAAGTGGGAGGGTGGTATTTAACAGAAAGGTTGCTGCAGCAGCTTCAGATTCAGTCACTGCAGATTTTACGTTGCTCTACAGCACATCGTTCCCAAGGTGCATTTGGGCCAAGTGTTTTGCGATTCAGGAAACATTGGGACTTGCCACCATTTTCAAGATTAATGACTCTCAAATACAGCACATCCAGGGAGCAAGGGTGAAGTTTAGCTCTAGGCTGCTGTGCAGTGCCCTGAATGCGGCCATGTAGAGCTGCTTTGTCTTTGCTACTGTGTCATAAATCAGGGAAGAGAGAAGCAAATTGAGTTACAGCCAAGAACACACTTCCATTTGGTTTCAAGACTTACATACAATAGGAATGAAAGCCACTTTGTGAGCTATATTCAGAGCTACTTTAATGGCTCCATTTTCCAGATTAGCTCATGACCTAGGAAAATTGGGTATGTTAAACATAAGAATAAATCTAAGCTCACTCTGTATTCAAAATACGTGTTTGTTTTGCTGATCTGGTGCTGGTGCTGGAATAGACAGAAGAGCAGCCTCAAGAAAGCTGTGTTGCAGCTGGCTTTTTCCCTACCAATTGCTTCTTATAATCCTGACATTCATTATTATCATTAATTCAGCAGATATATTAAATCACAAGATAAATTGCAGCACCTAATATAATACATGGAGGAAAAGATGGAATAAGAGCAAAAAACCCCATAAAGAACATTTCACTTGACATGCCCCTCAGATATTTTGAGGAGTAAAATAGATGTTTTGTAGGTTGTCAGGATGACAGCAAGATGAACGGTGCACTCATTGCTTTTAATTAGGTGTAGTATGGTTCACTTACCTTAATAAATGACACCTTAAAATAAATTATCACCAGCATTTTCCAGGACTGTCTAAAGAGCACAAGATGTTGCTGTTGTTTTAAAACAGGTATTAAAAGCCAGGCTGATTTTATTTACCGCAGAAGTGCCCTTTGTGCAGCTCAATCTCATAAAACATAAACCAGAGCAGTGAAAGACAGATTGCCTAAATATACCAGTGGCTTTGTATATTTCTGGGACAGTCTCTAATGACAACAAGAGCCAGTACCTTGACTGTGCCGTCCTGAAAGATGAAAACCCCCATCCTGTGCTGCCTTCCCTGTGGCACTAGCAGTTGCATGGCTGCTCCAAGAGATAGATCAGCTCACTGGACTGACTGAAAATTAACTTTACCAAAATAAAATAATTTTGTGAGTTCTGTATCAGGTGATTTTGTACTCGTTTAAAATACATAGTGAAGAATATGATTCTGATTATTACAATAGAATGTGTACATAATATCCAAAACACAGGTATGGTTTCTAATTGCTTCATTAACTCACTGTAAGCCTTTACTTCTTTATTTCCTTCCATTCCTACTTTAGATGTAAAGTATGCCCATATTATTTAAGATTTGAAATTCTATAGGATCAAAATTTGACATTTTCCACAAATCAATAAAAAGTAAATTTTGATACACTTTTACATCCTTTTCTGTTTATATTTTTTCATCTTAAATTTTCATTCCAAGTTCTATTTTGGAACAAAAGTTAACATTCAGTTTTAGACAGCCTCTTTTTGTTGGTGGGAACTTTGGAGGGGAAAGGTGTGTTTATCTGTAACCTCACTTAAAAAAAAGTAATATGGCATTCCAGGATCATTGCCAACACTGTCATTGATTTTACCTCTGTCTTCCTGGGGTAGAGATGACAGAACTAAATGAGGCTGTAGAGCAAGCTGATATAATTTCAGAAACACAGGAAGTTTGTAAGAGACAGAAAAACAGGTTTCCAAGTCTGCAGGTCAAAATATTTCACCGAGACGTTGATAAAGAGCAAAAATAAATCATGGGTTGACTGTAATTTTCATACAGTAACATGTAAGTATTTTAATATGAGAATGAGATTTTTTTTCCAAGGATGTATTTATGATCCACAGCATGAGATCTTTAAATTCAAAAATACACTATACGTTTTACATATAAATACTTCCTTTCAAGAACTATTTAATAGTCCATTTGGTACCATGTTGCACCAGTTGTTTACCAGCATCCAGACAGATTTAATTAACCATATCTTTTGTCTAGAAAAATCAGTTAGCAAATAAATATATCAGATTATTCCGGTGCCAGCTCCTTCATTAGCTAGGATTCCATTTTCTTCCAGTAACATCTTCTGTCCTGTATCGTTATTCTTATCTTCCACTCATCTTCTAATAAGTTATCCTCAAAAACCTTACTTGAAAATTTCTGCTGTATTAAAGCCAGACTAAAAGACCAGGTAGTTACTCAAATAATGGTTTTCTCTTTCTTAAGAGAAATTATTAGGTTTGCTACAATTTAAGCATTTCAATAGTCCAGTCGCAATGCACCAAGCCATCAGATATTTTATTAAATAGCTGAACTACCAGCCTTGCAGTTTCACAGGCAGGTTTTCCAGTATTTCCTTTTGTGTTCTCAGGATACTTTAACTATGGTTCATACAAAATGTTATTAGTCATCACTCAGATGTATCCCAAGATCAATTTTTCAGATGAGGAGAGCTGTTTTCCTGTTGTTCTTTCTTTGTAATCTCTTTTTAAAATCATAAATTCTCTCTTTACATCAGTGTTAAGGTTGCTCATCCTAGACAGAAGTTTAAATACTGCTTTTTCCTGTACATCTAGTTATGGGGCAGGGGTCATGAGTGTCAGTTTACTTTTAGCAGAATTTAAGGGGTGATGTAGTGCTCTGGAACAATATGGAAACAGAAGTTAGGTGTTGTAAATGCTTTATATGTTGCAGTGTATTACATTAGGAGATTTATTAAGAGTATTGAAATTAATTCTTTGTAGAAACAGTTAATAAGGAACACTGTAAAATTCCATAAAATACACAAACTGAATGTAAATATTTTTTTTTTTATTCTCCCTTCTTCCAGTACTCGTAGGAAACTATTCCTTTATATATGTATTACTATGTATGTTGATGGTGTCCCTGTATGGTTCATGTAACTACCTTCATGCAGATTTTACTAAGAGACTTGAAAGAGTCTTCTTCATGCCTGAGTAAGGAAGTTTCCAACCCTGAATATTATGGCCATTTTTCATCATGGCTAGTCACATGCTGAAATTCATAGTATAAGATTATTTGTGAAATCATCAATATTTGTGGAAATAGAAGAGATCAATTAGGCATCGTTTAAATACAGCTACAGTTTTGCATTTCCAAGAAGCTGAACACTTTATTCATTATTTCTCTGCATTTTGTGAATTTCTGTGTTCACAGGATGGAGTTTCAGCATGGGCTCCGCCTACCAGTTCCACAGCTGGCGAGTATTTGTGATTGTCTGCGCACTGCCCTGTGTCTCTTCCGTGGTAGCCCTCACCTTCATGCCAGAAAGCCCAAGGTTCTTGCTGGAGGTATATTTCCAAATGGTTTTTAGATTCCAGTCAAAATTATTTTTGTGTTTACAACATGACCTGTATACAACAGGCATTAAGATTGGTCAGTGACTATAGTGAATATCTTAATCTGTACGTATGTTTTGTTTAAATGTTTTGATCAAACATTCAGATTGGGAAACATGATGAAGCCTGGATGATACTCAAGCAAATTCATGACACAAACATGCGAGCTCGTGGTCAGCCTGAGAAAGTCTTCACAGTGAGTATTGCTTTTAAAGCTAATCGCTCAGCACATCAGCAAGCTTGCTGACTGGCAAGGTCTGGAGGGCTTAAGCAATCAATATTAATATCCTGCATGACAAAGCCAATCATTTGCACTCCAAATACCTAAATAGAAAAACTGAATTCCTACTGAAATTGTTATACATACAACAGATGTTAAGATATAAGCCTTTGGCCAGCATATTCTTGAATGTATGAACCCACAGTGTGATAATTTTCTCTGGTATACCAAGATACTTAAAAGACTATATCTGTATTTTAGTTACTAAGTTTACTTCACCCTTAATAGTAACAGTAGGCACATGGAAGAACAAATTCATCATCTGTTGTGTCTTTAAAGCTTTTGAAATTATTTTTTTCATTTTTATCAACTAAAATAATAATTTTTTAAAGTTCATTTTCATTTCTGTGAAATAATAATTTCAGACATTTAATTTTTTTGAAATATCTTGGAAACTCAACTGCATCTCATTGACTTGAAGATCTAATGATAAGGCCATACTCAAAGTATTGATGTGTTGTTTCTATTTGGAGGAGAAACTTGCAATTCAGATGTGGGACTTTTTTTATGACATCTTCCCTATTTATGAAGAATCTACACAACAATTTTGTCTTCCTGGAAACAGTAGGACCAAACATCAGAAGTCATTTTCTTGCTCTGAAATCCAGTCTGACTTTCCAGCTTGTGCTGTGCCATGGGAGTTCTGGCACTCTGCTCCCTCTCAGAGCCGTGTGTGGGATGTTTTTCTTCTTCCAGAGGCTTTCTTCTTACTTTAATGCACATATAACTCAATTAAAAAATCCTCTTAAAGGTTCTGCATTTGCAGGCAGTCTTGAGGAATGACCATCTGACTGTATAACTTTATTCCATTGAGACTTGCAGTTTATTGCCTTGGATGTAGTTTCCATTGCCTCCATTTAATTTTTTCCACAAAGCAGCTCAAAACCTCCTATATTTAGCCTGAAAGAAGGCTGGTTACCACATCTACCATGTTAAATCCACATTTCTTGATACACCAGTGACCTACCCCTAATCCCATCTAACCTAATATTTTATTTTCTGATTTCATTTACGAGTAAAGGGATTTGCCTAACGCCATGCAGCTAGAGTGTGATTTCACAGTTGGCTCTTGCTGATCTGAGCTGCTTTCAAAGAGAGTATGCTCGTCCCCAGTCATTCTTTGTTTTTCTTCTACCAGCGTTGATATTCATTGACTGATTGCACAGTCAGCCATAGCACAGACCCTGTCTCCCTACAGAGTTGGTTTAGGCGCAAGGAAGAAGACAGAAACGTGCTGGGACAAAAGGTGGGAGGAATGATTAGCCATAGTCTCACATCTGTTTGACGTAATTATAATCACATCCTAAAGCAGCCATGGAGAAGAAAATAAAGCACATATTTGTTTCCAGTTCTTGTGATCTAACAAGTCTTTCTCTCTACGGTTCTTAGAACGTGACACTGAACCATGTTGAACTCAGCACTTTATTTATAGCTATTTTTGTTAGTTAGCCACAAATAAGGTATTAAGAATGACAAACCACCACTTTCCTGGGATTTTCACCAGTTTCTACCATAAACATTAGGAAAACTCAATTCCAGATATCAAGGAGTTGAAGGATTAGAAATACTGTACTGTATGTTAAGGCTACACATGTACAGAAGTCCCTATTTTTATCTTGTGTTAATATTATTAGAAAATGCATCATTGTCTCCTCATTGGACAATATCAGCACTTCATCTTATAAAACCCAAAAAACAAAGAACTTATGCATAATTTGTTTGGGACGTACTTTTAGTATCTCTCTCTTTTTTTTTTTTTTTTTTTTTTTTTTTTTTTAATATAAGTTAGTCCTGGATATCAGGACATTCTCTCTCAGTAATTTATTCACATTGCTCTCCTAAACCCCATTGCTTTATCTAGTACCATTCTATGACTTATGCATTACTATTTACCTCCACTTCACATTACTATTTACATCAGATACACTGTGATATTATGTTTTCTAAATCCACAGCTGATGTAACTTTTTCTCCATTACTGCTATGATTTTAGTGTTCTTTCCTTTTATATGTTTTCTTAATTATATTGATGTCATCTTTTCCTATAAGCTTTTTTCAAAAGTCATCTTTACTGTTGTTATTCATATTATTGAGGATTTTTTCTTCAAACCTTTAGAACAGAGAAGGTATCAACTGATGAATGGTCAGTTTTAGAGTCAAAAACTCTAAAATGGATGTGTTCTAGTTACTGACTGTGGAGGCAGTGGCTCTTACTACTTTTGAAAGTCTCTCCTGAAAGCAGTGACACTAACAGAGATGGTAGTAAGTTGATAGTGTCTTCTATTATGGGACCACCCAAGTTAAAATTTTGTGTACAAGCTTAATTACTTTCCTGGATCCTTACAATATACATTCATTAGATCTATTTATTTAAATGTTCAAGGAAAAAAAAATATATATTGTAACCTTAAAACCAAAATTCTCTCTACACTTTCGTTACTTGTCATGTATTAATTTTTTTTTTTCTGTAAACACTTTTCTTTGCAGCCTGTCTTGATTTTGTAAAATTTAAAACATTGCATATTTCTATCCATTGGTTTTAAACAGAAGTTCCATTTTCATTAAAGTAGGTATTCTTCACTGTTTCTTCTTTCATTCTTCATATACTGACAGCTGAATTTGCATGGTCCAGATGGACAATTGTCCTGATTCAATAGGACTTTTCTTATGTTAAAGAAGCATCAAGGCCAGGGGCTTTTTGTCTGCAGTCACATAGAACAGTCCTAGGATATATACGTTTCTCCCAGCCTCCAGAGTTCCAAACAAGTCAGGTGGCCAGGATGGTGAAAAGGCTGCCCCTGAGCCTACAAGGGTGGAATTGGTTTATACAGCATGATTCATAAGGCATGCCCTTTCTGCCCGGAGATGTGGCATGTGAGGATGTCTGTATGTACAAGGTCTTAAATAATCTTGGAGAATTCAGCTAAGTCTTTTGTATAACATGTTTCATAAAAGCAGTTTAATAAAAGCTTGACATCAGTGCAATGATGCAGGCAGGATTATTGCTGTTAGAAGAGGCATGACAAGAGGTGTGCAGGTTTTTGCTACAGTCATGGTTTGATAAGACAGTGACTGCAGTATTTCACAAACGAGGGTAGTTATAGCTAAAACTGCTTCATGGGCTTTTGTTTGTTCTTGTTCACAGGATGAGGCTGCTAGTGCATCTTAAACAGTGTACATCTGTAGAAGCAGTGGGCTGAAAACCAGAGCTTTATTATCAATACTGGTATTCCCTGATGTCCAATAATCCACTATGATATATCTGTGGGTGGTAGTGTCCTCATTCTGTTAAGAAGAAACACAAGCTATTGCTACCTTCAGAAACTGCAGCCAAACATTGAACACACAGTCTCTTGCTCTCTTCCTCCTTATATGTCAGTCCCTTTCCTCATTTTATTTATTTTCCTTCCATTCTCTATTTGTCTTCTTTTAAAATAAACTTTGGATGAATGTAATGCCTTTTGTGATATCATTGTGAACATGGGACCAGAGCATAAACCAAGACCAAGACCATACAATGGTATAAGTTTTTCAGGTCCTGTTTCTGGAAAGACCATGTAACACAGTCTTCTTCTGCTACACAGGAGAGTGCAAGTGAAAATTAGCATTGCAGGCAACATCACATTCTCTGTCACTGTTAATTCTGTATTTTTCTCTGATGTCTGTTTATCACATTTCACTTCAGATGAAGTATATAATTGCTCATAACAGCAATAACATGCATGATTCCAGATCATTTCACCTAACTTTTTCTCTCTTCATTAAAAAGGATAGTTAAAGTCAGCATCTAAAAGACAAAGAGAATTCCCTCTCTAACACTACAGGATATAAGAACAAAAGGAAAAAATATTATTCAATTATTAATTTTTGACACTCTAAATACTTCTGTTGTCATTACTGTATCTTTAATCAATAAACTTGCAACAGTGTTGTGATAAGTCAAAAACCACTTGATGGGAAACTCTGGACATGGTTAACTGAGGATTTAAATAATATTTTATCCTTTGTGGCATTAGAGGTATGTACAACAACATTCTAGCAGAACCTGGCAGTAAGAGTTTGTTTCAGTCGGAGCAAATGGATTTTCTACATGCTTTGAAAGGAGAGCTTTTCCAATACAGTTACACCCATAATGAACTTTGACAGTATAGTGTGCTAGTATTCCTTCATATTTCTTAGGCATTTCTACTGTAGACACAGGTTTAATATCTGCTCATTTTTAGTTTATGGGATTTTTTAAAACCTTTCAATATGCCTTGACAGACAGTTAATAATTCATGAAAATGCAAATATTTGCTGCTCTGTTTTTATTTCTAGGTTAACAGAATCAAAACTCCGAAGCAGATAGACGAGCTTATAGAAATAGAAAGCGATACAGGCACTTGGTACAGGAGGTGTTTTGTTAGAATTCGCACAGAGCTATACAGTGTAAGTAACAACAACTCTGTTCATTCCATAATTACCTTACTTCTTTTTAATTAGCCTTCAGAAACGGGATGGATTGATTGAGCTCATGATGGTGATAGCTGCAATGCTACATTTTCCATTCAACTGGGAAACTGAGGAACCATTATAAGGTTCTGGTTTCCTGACCCAAAGAGGCGCAGGTGAATCACAGAGGTTGGTGCCAACTTCTGAGGAGGAAAATTTTGCACTGGTCTTCACACGTGTGATGGCTAATAGTTACATAGCCATATTCCCAAGCTCAATAATATAATATGTACTGGGAATGTGTATCAATATATACCTATGGAGAGAGGTGACACATGATGAGATAAAAAATTATCAGCAGGAACTTGAGGTGGCTGCATTACTTAGAAATGATAAAGTGGTGAATAAACTGTGTAAATGAATGTCAATAAAACCTTTATAAGGCATCATATCTGCTCATATTTTTAGGCATGTCAAATATTTTACCAGAAAACTACATTAGAGCTATTTCAGAGAGTTTAGAACAAGCTTACTGGGACTGTGCTCTGTATCCCTTTTTAATTTTTTTTGTAAAACAAAAATTATGGAGTATCTTTGAACATTGTAATGAGAATTGAGAACAGTCTCATGAATTTAAAAAAAAAAAAAAAAAAAAGACAAAAATAACTTTCTACAGCTGTTAAATGGCTAGCATCTTAAAGCCATCCAGAGATAAAATAAAGCGTTGTAAACCAAGGTTTGTCACAAAAATGTTTTGCTTGGAAAAATGACATTTTCCCTATTTAAAAAAAAAAAAAAAATCCAGACAGTATCTACTTGCCTAGTTACTTGTCCAAAAATGAAGTAGTTGAAGATTAAAATATTATGATTTGGCCTTTTTACTAACCCAGATTTGAAGGAGTTGCATCTCGGTTGTCTCACATACTTGTTATCTCACTGGACTACCCCCTGGGACAGAGCACCTTCTTTGTTGCATGATATGTGCTGAAACCTCCTGGGAGAGACTGTCTCTTCTCTTCAAAAGGAGGAGATCATTTTGAGATGAATGAGAGACAGAGGAGAACACCATTTTCAGTCAGCTCTGTTGCAGTGTCTCTGACCTGAAGGTAGTCCCAGCTTTTCTTCATATAGTTAAAGTACTAATTTCTGGTTGTGGTAGGTTATGACAGATCAAACTCTCAGTGTGTCCCTGTTGAATTGTGGAATATAGTTTGTCTAAACTTAAAGCAGTGTAATACTGTGAAGTGAGAAGGCATTTCTGAGAGATGTCTGGTTTATTTGAGATAGTGAAATAAAGCTGCCCATAGATTATGTAAATTTGAGGTGATCCAAGCAAGGGTGAATTAACAGACACAGTCCACACTGGTGTATAAAAACTGAGCCAACAATGTACGCTTGCAGCTGAGAAAGCCAATTGTATCCTGGGCTGCATCAAAAGAAGGATGGCCAGCAGGTCAAGGGAGGTGATTTTGCCCCTTTACTCTATGCTGGTGACACCCCACCTGGAGGACTGTGTCCAGCTCTGGGGTCCCCAGTACAAGACAGACATGGACCTCTTGGAGGCGGGCCAATGGAGGGCCACAAAAATGATCAGAGGGCTAGAACACCTCCTTTATGAGGACAGGCTGAGACAGGGGGTTGTTCAGCCTGGAGAAGAGAAGGCTCTGGGGAGACCTTATAGCATCCTTCCAGTGCTTAAAGGGGGCTGAGAAGAAACACGTGGACAGACTTTTTAATAGGGTCTGCAGGGATAGAACAAGGGGTAATGGTTTTAAACTAAAAGAGGGTAGATTCAGACTAGATAGAAGGAAAAAAATATTATGATGAGGGTAGTGAAACATTTGAACAGTTTGTCCAGAGAGATGGTAGATGACACATCCCTGGAAACATTCAAGGCCAGGTTGGACAGGGCTTTAAGAAAACTGTTTTAGTGGAAGATGTCCCTGCTCGTCACAAGGGAATTGGACTAGATGATGTTTAAAAGTCTTTTCCAATCCAAACCATTCAATTAGTTTTCCATGAAAAGGAGCTGGAGAGTCACAGAACATATTAAATCTGGCTATAGCTGGAGGCTGGTATCCCTGTATGAGAAGTACAGCTATGACCAGTACCAAAGAGCTGATCTGCTCTCTCTGATGCCCTGAGGAAGCAACCAAATCAGAATCAAAAATATTCCATCATTTAAGAAAATTGTTCAAAGTACAATTTAAAATACATGTATTTCCTAATGATTTACAGATTTGGTTGACATTTATGAGATGCTTCAACTACCCAGTGAAGGATAACACAATCAAACTTACAGCTGTATGGTTCACCCTGTCTTTTGGGTAAGAGTATTTGAGATCTTAAATTGTTGATAGATGTGACAGGCAGAAGTGTCACCTGCATGTGTCTTTCTGTCACTGTGATTATTGTTTTTATTCGGGAAAGTTTTATTCCATATCTTCCTACAAAATGCTGTATTTATTGGTTAGTCTATTCTTGATTGCATGCCTGACTCATCAAGAATATCTGCTTCAGAAAACTGGCATCTTCTTGTGTCAACGTCTTTCAATATTTTTATTTTATGGAGGATTTTATTATGATGGAGCAACTGCTCCATCACGTAAGCACCCATGGGACATTTTGGAACAAGTGAGACTGACGACTGAGTTTTTTCTATTTTTCACAGCTACTACGGCTTATCTGTCTGGTTTCCTGATGTCATTAAACATCTGCAGTCAGACGAGTACGCGTCCCGAGTGAAACATTTCCGCAATGAGGAGGTTTCACATTTTGTCTTCAACTTCACACTGGAAAATCAGATTCACAGTAATGGAGAATACATCAATGACAGGTTTAGAGATTTCCTAATATCCTGACTTGGCTGGAATAAAAAAATGCATGCTTCAAAGCATGTCATAATAATCTAATATTTTTCTCCATTAGATAATGATACATGGGCTTGTTGCTTTTTAATGGGAATTTATTGCTGTTCTTGTTTTCTTATGACTTGTGGAGCATGGGGATAAGCGGACCTGTACATGCCCTAGCAGTTCCTATGTGAGGATCTCCTGTGTAAACCTGGCTTCCTTGTTATCCTCAAAAACAGGCTGAAAAGCCTAAATTAACGATACTTCCTTTCACAGTGGGATTCAAAGGTTTTCAGACCCAACACATGCGGCATATTGTCGGGGTCTGGGGAAGAATGTACTTTCATCTCTGTTTCTGGTTCTTTTCTTATATTGATGAAAGACGCTTCTGTGAAAACACTGAACATTGAGAGGTTAGGATCTTATCACAGAAAAATAAAAGCTAAACATTACTGTAAATCAATAAAAAGTATGAACAGCGCTGAAAAGGGAGACAACACATTGGCAATGCCTTTGGTGTTTTTTAACTGAATCCAAACATATTAAGGCTCTATCCGGACTTTACAGATAACTAGATAACTTAGGGGAAAATTAAACACAGCTGGTTTAGATATCTGGTTTCTCTTAAGAAATATACAAAACAACCATGTGAATGGTCTCCTGGAAGTTGTGATGCTAAGTAATTATTATTTCCATAGGAAAATATATATCTAAGTGAATAAAATTAATGATTTTAGTACTATGGTGTTTTCAAAATTATTTTTATGAGAACTCGAGTTTTGACACAGTTAAAGGATTGTGCATTGTAGACAAAAATAGTGGTTATCTAATTTTTCAGCTAGCTATAGCTTCCCAGTTCCACTCCTGACCAGGAGGTAAATGCTTTCCTAAAACCAAAGAACCATGTACTGTCAATAGCTGACAGCACTCTGTCAGCCAGGGTTTTACCAATTTGAACTGAAAATTCTTGTAAAACATTAAATCTAACAACAACCTACTCTAAAAAACTAAGTGATTCTTTTAAATGTGCAAATTTAATAGGCCTCTGACAGTGAGATTTGCAAAACATTTTCAACAGAAGTATGAATTAATTTTGTATTCTTCCTCCACAAATGTTTCAATACTCCATAAACCCTCAAACTCAATATTTACTTCATGTTCTTTCTTAACTAGAAGATCCATCAATACTTGACTTTTTACTTCACTGCATTTCTGTTGGGTTTTAATTCAAATCATCATACCACCAATTTTAATGTAGACACAACATATTTCCTGTCCAAAGGTAAAAAGTACATCAGAAAAATGTAGGACACGTAGTCTGTCATTTTTGTTCCAACTGACTAATCTAATTGCTAAATTTTCTTCGATCTCCTCTGGAATTAGGCTACATTTTAAAATGAAAAGTGCTATATGAAAAATGATAATGAGATGACATGGAATGCCAGCCTGATGTTAATCAGATTCTGTCACAAATGAGAAATGATATAGTAACTAAAACTAATGGGCTGAAAACACCATTCTTCTGACCAATACTCAAAGAGAATTCATTAGCTAGTAAGTCTTTCCCTGTGATAAAGACAATTAGCTTTTGCTCTCCTTTCTCATAAAGATGTGATTCCAACAACGTTATTGGCAAGAGATTTTAATTCCTACTATTAGTCTTGTAATAAAAAACATACTTAGCTAGTCACACCAGGTTTAATTAAAGCAGAGGCAGGTCTGCGTTTGGAAGGCTCTGCCATTTTAACAGTTCTTATTGCCATATAACAATTAAAGCACTGATTTTCGAACATTACCACTTTGAGTGAGGTCTGCCAGCAAAACCGACCTTTTTTAGTTGTAGCTTTTTCCATACCTCCATGTAAAATAAAAGACATCATAAAAATAATGATGTATTTCTACATCTGTCTTTTCTTTTGCTAGCATAATGATGTAATTTGGTAGAATTATACTAAAATAGGCTTACAGCATTGTTTTAGTCTAGTAACATTGAGGTAAAATGTTACTGCTAGTAACTTAAAAGTCATTGGCTTTTTCTGTGAATGTCTTGATTGTCAGAAATTATCAAAGACCTAGGAGTCAAATGGAAGTTGATAGGAACGAGGATGTTCAGAAATAAGAAAAGTTACTGACAATTTGTTTATACCTGTTTTATGTACACAGTAATTGCAATTGCATTCACAGACACAAGAATAACAAACACATACTTCCAGTTAGATATCTAGTTGTATAACTAGCAATGTAATTGTTGTGTTCATGTCAAACCATATCACAAAACAATCTTTTAACACTTGGACCAGTATGTTTTGCGTTTGAATCTGACATGGTGCCCAGTGTGTTCATCTGGAGAAATAAAGATTCTTTAAAAAGTCTTTCTTTCCAGTTTGTTGATATTAGCAGGTACTTGTTTGTTCCAAGCCACTAAGTTTCTGGAGCATGATCTCCCAATTTCCAACTGTAATGTCAAATTACAAGTAATAGTGTTTTTACAAAGCTATTTGTATTTTACAAGGCACTTTTACAATGTCATGACATTGTTTTTGGTTGGTGATTAAGGACAAGTAATAACAGAAATATTATCAAAGAAATTGTATTACCAGTCATGGCTATAGCTATGTGAATCTATTAATTTAAAAACATCTTATTAATGATTTTTCTGAATGATAGTATTCTAGAATCAGCTAATCATTAATGTCTGGAGACATCCAGAATGCCTTTAAGGATTCATTGTTATCAGGGTTGAGATTTCTTAGACGTGTAGCTGCATCAGCTTGACTTGTTGCTCTTTCTAAGGTATGAAGGGAGACTGACAGAAATTATTTATATTGGGCAGGTTTATTATGATGAAGTTTAAATCAGTAACCTTTGAAGATTCACTTTTTAAGAACTGTGTGTTTGAAGACATTACTTCTCTGAACACATACTTCAGGAACTGTACCTTTGTGAATACCACCTTCTACAACACAGGTATTATGAGGAAAAGCCCTGATCACCCCTTGTTCAGCTGCGTGTTTAGAATTTCTGTATTTCTAATAAAGCAAGAATTTCTCTTGTAGGGAATAAAAATCTATAAAAAGCAACAGGCCAGCATAATGTTATAAGAGAAAAGTTAAAGGATTACACCCACACTAGAGATACCACAGACCTAATATTGACTCAGATAATAAATATCTCTTTGATTTTAATCATCTCTAAAGAGATTCAGACTCTAGAGGAGAAAATCTATTTACTGCTTTACTGGCAGCTTTAACTGGTGTATTTTTATTTAGTCTAAATAGGACTGGTGAAATATTTTGTTCATTGCGCTTGCTGTGGCATGGGAATCTGAGTTAAGGATTCAAACTACCTAATCTATAATCATTCCCACTCTCCTAAGTATTGTACCAAAAATAGGATTGTGTATTTTCATATGTTTAAACAGAGGACTCTTTTTCTTTTTTTTTTTTTTTTTTTTTTCAGTTTAGTAAAACATAACTGAAAGTAAAACATGGCCAACTAAGCTTGTTGGAAAGGGGGCACTGCTTACCCCTTTCCCATAACTCCAGCAATCAAAATAGTAATAGAATTAGGTTTCAGAGAAAGCAATGACCAGCTCTCTTTGCATGGAAGGAAGGTATTCTTGATTCTGGGTTATAAAGCTGAAAGGAGGAACAGAAATAAAGTAGTATAGGGAAAGATCTCTGAAATGGTATTGGAAGAAGAATGGCCTGAGTGGTTGCAAGCAGTAACTCATACGTGTTTGAGCTGAAGACCACAAGACCTTCTCAGAACTTAAACTTAGTTTAATTTGAATTCTGTAGGAATGGTTCACTTTAAAGGGACTCAAACCAAACTGAGCACGATCAGCAGCCTTATCTGAAAGGCTGTCTGGTGTGGAACTAAAAGGTCTGACACCAAACAAGACCAAGTGATAGAAACTTGCAGATACCCAGTGTTTTTATTGCAAGACCAGCTGGTGTTGAAAGGCTTTAACAAAATACAGTCCAAGCAGAGCTGAAATGCAGTGATATATATAACGTGCCTGATTCCAGGCCATAGTTGCTCTTTTTCATGAGCCTTGAATATTTTTCTATTAAGATAAAAAGGTATCAAAATTAATAGCAATAACTAGTCCCATTTTATGAAGCAGTGAAAACTCCAAGTTGTCATTAAATTTGCCTAAACTTGAAATGTTTTTAATCAAAAGCTGCACATGGAGTCGGCTGTTAGCTGAAATGTTTCTTTTTCTTCTTTCCACAGATCTTGAGCAATATAAATTTGTTGACAGCGAATTGATAAATTGCACATTTTTCCACATCAGGACAGGATGCCAGATTTCTTTTGATGATGACTACAGTGCCTACTGGATTTACTTTGTTAATTTCCTGGGAACTTTGGCAGTGTTACCAGGGAATATTGTGTCCGCTCTCCTGATGGATAGAATTGGACGGTTAACGATGTTAGGTAGGGGCTTCACTTTAAAACAGGGAACACCACCAAAACCTAAAGGTCTCCTGAAAAAATAACATGCTCTCTTTTTAAAGAATTTGGTTCAGAAAGATGCAAAACATTCCTTCTGCAGATACATTGTTTATGCAGCATCGTAAGTTTCGTTTGAAAAGCCACCAATTTAGAAATTCTAGGAACAAAGTGTTCTATAACCTGTTTTGCTATGCTAGATTATCAGCCATTGCTTTTCCACACTGATATTACAAGACCATTATTTAGGCATTTGGGATGAGGTTTTGGAGAGTGCTGACCATCAGCTTTGCTCCAGCTGAAAGGAAAGAAAGATGTGAGCAGGTGACCCTCATCTAGTGGAGTAGCTCCTCGAAAAGGTCAGCAGTCTTTTGACTGTTATCTGTTTTGCAAAGTAACACAGTTGAAAGATTTCTCTTGTGGATTATGTGCAATGGCAAATCTGTTTTCAATTTACTTAAATAACAATGTGGTAGTTCATTTTGTTCATTTACTAGGAGAATGTCTCTATAAATTCAATTCCCACTCTGTTTTTATTGCTACAATATATGAATGAGTTTCATGTAATTGAAGAAGATGATGACCAAGGAAGAATGGGGGGAAGTTTTCCCCAGGCAGCTTGCTTTGGTAGTTCAGTTGGAGTTCCAGCTTAATATTTTATGATGACATAACTTCATATTTGAAGAGTTACGTTTTTTTTTCCTATGAGCCGCTTTCAATGCTTGTCTTCCTGACTGGTCTTAGCAGAGGAAGTCTCTTTAGTTTTTAACTCAAATACATGGGTCAGTTGTTTATGTACACTGTTTGTATAGAAACATTAGACAAGACAAACAAAAATCATTCTTAAAATACATCTCTATATCATGTTCATTTCAACTGTCTTATACCTAGGTGGTTCCATGGTTCTCTCTGGCATCAGTTGTTTTTTCCTGTGGTTTGGGACCAGTGAATCCATGATGATAGGTATGCTGTGCCTCTACAACGGTCTCACCATCTCAGCGTGGAACTCTCTAGATGTCATTACTGTGGAGCTGTATCCTACAGACAGAAGGTATGTGATGATACAGCTCCCCTAACCTGACTGACACTATCTATATGTACCAGCAGAAGTGGTAAATAGAAATAGTTAGGTATGAGTTTTACAAAGGTAGTAATGTTCTGAGTGGGCTGAATGAATAGTTTGTTTTATGAACAGCAAGGGGAAAAAAGATTTTTTGAGTTGTTTGATTTGTATTTCATATCAAATATCACCTAATCAGGAAAATGCCACAAATTTAGTTTCATATGAAAAAAAAAAAAAAAAGGTCTAACTGCTACTGTCATTTAAAGCAAAGTTAATGATTAGTATTTCTGAAAACAGTGATGGGGTATTTCTAGGTTTCTCCTGGTGCAACTGGCTATGAGGGCAATAGATGGTCCAAAACAGCAATATAGCTACATTTTTCAGTTGGCTATGAAATGGTGGGGATGATAATAAAAATCACTATCTGAAGTTGAACAGCATCTTCTGGAAGAGATTGTGGGCTTGAACCATGCTGAGCTGTTAATCAGTCTGCTACGAATTTGTATGAAGATTCACTAGGAGTATACATACTCAGCACTAAGTGGATACGAAAATGTCTTTGGCACTGCTCCTGACTCTTCCGGGTTCTTTCAGAAAAGCTCAGGATAATCTTCATGTCCTGCAAGCATTGATGCTAGATGACATGAGTTGTATGTTGAGTGTAAAAATGTAAAAGCTGCATTTTCTTGAATGCACTGTGATATTCCTCCCCAGGGACACTGTGTCCTTTCTCCTGTCACAGTGTCATTCATTATGTCATTCACTAGAAGTTTCAAATGTGGTGAAAAATATTTGCAGTTTATAAATGCATGATGCCTTCCAGGGAAATCTCTTTTTGGACAGAGGGCCAACTGGCTTTAGTATTTTCCATCAGGAGAGAAGAACCATACACTGGCTTCTCTGTTTTCTTTTCACTGGCATTTTAAAAATATATGCTTTTCCACACAAGAAATTGATGTCCACTGTTGTGGTTGTATCGAATAACTGTACTAGGCTACTTAGGAATCCAAACCATTAAGCTCTATGTCCTGGGTTGAGTGAGTGGTGGAGTTTTTTGGTGCCAGGGGAGGGGGCTATCGGGGCGGCCCCCTGTGAGAAGCTTCTCGAAGCTCCCCCAGCTCCAAGTCAGCTCCACTTCTGTTTGGGAAATTGAGCCAATCGGCTGCTCCTCTGCGATAACGTATTTAAGAAGGGACGTGGTGACGGGCAGTTGGACTTGTGAGGAGGAGTTGCTGCAGCTGCATGAACACCAAGGTCAGTGGAGGAACGGAGGAAGAAAGGAGGGGTGAAGTGTGCCGGAGCAGAGACCCCCCTGTATCCTGTGGTGAGACGGCAGGGCGGCCCCCCCCTGCCACCCATGAAGATCTACGGTGGAGCAGACATTGATTTACAGCCTGTTGTTCCTGCTCGGATGATCAAGGTTCTGTGCCCGAAGAAGGCCGGGGTCTCATGGGAAAAGGTAGCCCCGCTGCTGTAATTCAGTGCTGGGAGGATTGCAGCATGTGGGGGAGTCCCACGCCGGAGCAGCTCGGGAAGGGCTGCAGCCGTGGGAGAGAATCCAGTCGGAGGAAGTTAGTGACCCATGACGGAGCAGTGTGGGGAATGCTGCGGCCCATGGGAGGAATTCAAGTCAGGGAAAGTTTGTGGAGGACTGTCTCCTGTGAGAGGGGGACCACGATGGAGCATGGGGTAACAAGTTTTGGACACTCCCCTCACCGAAGATGAAGGAAGTGGCAGCACTGACTGCACCCCCCATTCCCTGCCCCTGCGCCACTGGGGGAGGAGGTAGAGATATCGAGAGCAGAGCTGAGCCCGGGAAGAAGGGAGGGGTGGGGGGAAGGTGTTCTCAAGATGTGGCAATGCTTCTCACTGTCCTACTCTGTTATGTGTTGTTAGTGTCTGTAATAAATGTATGTTCTTTTTTTCTTCCCCTAACGAGTCTGCCTTTTGCTCATGATCATAAAAGGGGGATTTTCCCCCATCCCAGTCCTATCTTGAACCCCAAGCCTGGCTCTCTGTCCCTTCTCATTGCCGGAGGGGAAGGGAGAGAGAGGTGCTGCATTGTGGTTGGCTGTCAATCAGGCCTAAACCACGACACTCTAATATTAAATGCTAGTATTTTTATTGCACCTCAGTTTCCTGAGGTGCAATAATCTTCTGGCAAGAATTATTCCATCATCCAAACCCTATGATATAATTCTAATAAATCTCCTTTAGAAATAGCTATCTTTTTGGTATTCCTGAATGTAGCAGCCACAAATATTTTCTTAAAATGAAGTAAATAAAAATAACTGAAAAGCCGTTAATGGAATGGAATGGGAATTAAATGGAAACAAAAAATATTATCAGCACTAGGAACGATGAAAAGAATGTAACTGATATCTATTCTAGGGCATCTGTATCTGTAGCTAATAGTTGTTTTTAATTGTTTCTGTTAGCTTTGGGATTGTAGCAAATTATTCCATATTTTTCTTTTTTAAAAACTTATGTGTGCAGTAATAGCTGTCTGGAATTCCACCTCAGAAGTTTACTAGCAGTTGAGTTTTTGGAGTTTTTTGCAACAACCTGGATAGAAAACTTGTCACTTTGTATTATCTATATAAAAAAGAGTCATAGGCCAAATCTACCTGTGCCAGGAGAGACATTGCTGATATATACTGTAGATGAGACTTTTTTCTAAAAGTTCAGAAAGTGATGGAACCATCACTGCCAGATTTTGTCAGCTGGATTATAAGGAAATGACTAATTCTAGAAGTCACTTCCAAGACATGTTTGTTTAGACTGGGACAAAACTGCCTCATGTTTCATAGAACTATTTGAAAAGTAATACCTGCAGGGGCTCAAATAAGCTTCTTCCCAGAATTGTCTCTCTGATATTGTTTATCCAGACCAGCTACAGTTTAACAGCCACCTTTGCCCACCTCTATTGGTCCTGTCTTTCCTTCGACTCTTCTGATCTCCATAGCCTGACACAACTTGCCACAGTTTGCTTTGAACTTCCAGTTTCTGCAAGTACCTGTAGAGATAAACAGCCTTTCCAGGCATATATGGTACATGAAGCTGCCTGATCAGTTTTTGCATATGAGGTACTTCATACTTAAGACGATGCCCTCTTTCACTACAAAGGTGCATCCAGAGTGAATCTGGTCCTAAAACTGACTTCAAATCTCCCCTCAAAAGGCAATCTAGGCCGAAATTTGCCTCTATTGGCTAGGTACAACTTTGCCTAACTGTCACTATTGTGTTATTCCGATCTATACTTTTTTCTTACTTCCTATCAATGAAATGACCACAAACCAGCAGCAAAATGCAGCTGGAGGTTGGACTGAAAGCAAAGTGTGTGGAAAGAAGCCAGTTCATGCTACCATACACAAGAGACTAGACTGTGCAGCCTCTCCTTTACCTCCTGCACAACTCTTCTTGGAGACCAGCCAGTTGCCAAACCACTGGGGCCTTGCCAGTGTTGTGCAGCATAATAGAAAAGGTGTTTCATAAATCGTGCTCCAGGTTATTTGGGGATCATACTGGCTTTTTGCCAGGTAGGGGTGTGGTAAGCAATTTGGAAATGTGCAGTGTATATGATGCACGGCACACATTTCAGTTTCCTCTTCATCAGCTGCCCTCAGGGCAGAGTTAAGGTTGCTTCAAAGTCTTAACAGATTTGGATTCTGTACGCATTCACACTCATCTACATATTTATATTTTCATTTACTAATGCCTGGGTTTGAGATCATTAAGTAGTGTGTCCTATATTCTTGATGAATACTTTCAAATCTGATGCCATTTTAGCATGGCTTTTGTCTGTATGGTCTTTATAAAATCTCAGCTGATTTGCACAACTGCTAGAATAAGAGATGTTAGAAGCTATATAGATTTCAAATGGTTCTCAGGTAGATTACAAAGTTGTGTGAAAAGGTGAAGATATGTTACTCATGCTAGTCATAGATAGGTTTCTATCTTTCAGATTACACACGTGATGGTAATGAATAATCATTTTATAATTTTTTTTTTTACTTTAATTTTAAATACACAACTTTTAAAGGACGCTCATGATGATTAGCTCTAAACTAGCTGATTTCTAATAAGCAAATAAATTAACCCAGCTCCACATTGTAAAGAACTTGTATTGACACATCTTTTGCCTTATCTTTTCACTTGTCTTTTGCCTTATCTTCTTAAAGGCCTGTGCCATTCTGGACTAGTCAGCAGGTTCTGAAAAGCCTTTGGTCAGTCACGACCCTCTTGAAGGCCAAACCAAACTATTCCATAGCCTTTGAAGCTCTGCTCTGAAAGGCAGTCATTATATGTCATGTGAATATTTTTGGGCACTCCTAAAGTGCTTTCGTACTTTTTCATAAACTTCCTATATTTTCCAAACAGTCCTTTGAAAGAAGGTGGTGTAGATATTGAGGGGAAAAAAAAAAGAAAAATATTGTTAAAATTGACTTCAGTGTTGTCCATCAGGAGAGGAAAACTATATACCAGCATGTGTGGCACAAACAATCCCTGTCACTGAGCATTTTAAAAGAGAGAATGGGCTGAAAATGTAACTTTCACTGCAGCTGTAAGTGCTCAGCACTTCAGCAACACAAACCTGAAGGTGCTAAGGTGACCACCCATGTGAAATGTGAAATGCATACTTAATGACCACTTAGTTAGCTTTAACTGACTTGTTCACATTATATATGAATTTTGTGGCAGGAGTAGGAATTCTATCCTTTCTTCTGACAGCACTCAACTACTTTAACCATTACACTGCTTTCTTAATTTACATTCCCCATCCATATTCACAGTGTACCTTCCAACTTCTGCAGCAGATGAGGGAAACCAAGTTTTCTTCACTACATTTATGTTTTACCCTCAAGATCTCTTTGTTCTGTGCACTGGCAGACTGAGGTGAAAAAAAAAATATTGTGGGATGAGGTAATTATGGCCTGTGTTGTAATGTGTGTGCCCAAGGGGCTTGCAATAACATTGCACAGTTTCCT